AACAACTGATACCACAGAAATACAAATGATTATCAGAATCTATTATGAACAATTATATGCCAAGAAATTTGAAAATCTGGATGAAATGGACAAATTTTTAGAAAATTATAATCTTCCAACACTGAAGGAGGAAGAAACAGAAAGCTTGAACAGACCGATTACAGTTGGGGAAATTGAAGCAGTAATCAAGAAACTCCCAGCACACAAAAGCCCAGGGCCAGACGGTTTCCCAGGAGAATTTTATAAAACATTTAAGGAAGAGCTAACCCATGTCCTTCTCAGACTATTCCAAAAAATCCAAGAGGAGGGAAGACTGCCAGACTCCTTCTATGAGGCCAGCATCACCCTGATCCCAAAACCAGATAAAGAACCTACAAAGAAAGAAAACTACAGGCCAATTTCTCTGATGAACATAGATGCTAAAATCGTCAATAAAATATTGGCAAACCGCATCCAGCAATACATTCAAAAGATTATCCATCACGATCAAGTGAGATGCATCCCAGGGATGCAGGGATGGTTCAATATATGCAAATCAGTAAATGTGATACACCACATAAATCAAAGAAAAGACAAAAACCACATGATCATCTCGATAGATGGAGAAAAAGCATTTGACAAGGTACAGCACCCATTTATGATCAAAACACTCAGCAAAATGGGAATAAATGGGGCATTCCTCAACGTAATAAAGGCCATATATGAAAAACCTACAGCCAATATCATACTCAACGGGCAAAAACTGAAAGCTTTCCCACTAAGATCGGGAACACGACAAGGATGTCCGCTCTCACCGCTTCTTTTCAACATCGTATTGGAAGTCCTAGCCACAGCGGTCAGACAAGAGAAAGAGATAAAAGGCATCCAAATAGGAAAGGAGGAAGTAAAACTATCATTGTTTGCAGATGACATGATAGTGTACATAGAGAACCCTGTAGACTCTACCAAAAAACTCCTCAACCTAATAAGTGAATTTTGCAAAACAGCAGGATACAAAGTCAACATTCAGAAATCAAAGGCCTTTTTGTACACCAGCAATGCAATAGAAGAAGAAGAAATCAGGAAAAATATACCATTCGATATAGCACAAAAAAAGATAAAGTACCTAGGGATAAATTTAACCAAAGACACAAGAGACCTGTATGCAGAAAACTATACAACATTGAAAAAAGAAATTAAGGAAGACACAATTGAATGGAAGCATATACCATGCACATGGATTGGAAGAATTAATATCCTCAAAATGTCCATACTACCCAAAGCAATTTATAGATTCAACGCAATCCCTATTAAGATACCAATGACGTATTTCACAGAAATAGAACAGACATTTCAAAAATTTATATGGAACCATAAACGACCTCGAATAGCTGCAGCAATTTTGAGAAAGAAACACAAAGTAGGAGGGATCACAATACCAGACATCAAACTCTACTACAAAGCCACTATACTCAAAACAATCTGGTACTGGCACAAGAACAGACCCATAGACCAGTGGAACAGAATAGAAAGCCCAGAAATAAGCCCAGGTCTCTATGGACATCTAATATTCGACAAAGGGGACAGAAGCATAAAATGGGGCAATAACAGCCTCTTCAACAAATGGTGTTGGGAGAGCTGGATGGCTACATGCAAAACATTGAAATTGGATCATCAGCTGACACCATACACAAAAATAAACTCAAGATGGATAAACGACTTAAATATAAGTCGCAACGCCATCAAAGTCCTAGAGGAGAACATTGGCAGGAAACTCTCAGATATCCCACGCAGCAATTTTTTCACTGATATGTCTCCTAAAGCAAGGGACATAAAGGAAAAAATAAACAAGTGGGACCTCATCAAAATAAGAAGCTTCTGCACGGCGAAAGAAAACATCAGCAAAATGAAAAGGGAGCCAACCGTTTGGGAAAATATATTTCCTAATGATACATCAGATAGAGGTTTGATCTCCAAGATATACAAAGAACTCACTCGACTTTACTCCAAGAAGACAAACGATTCAATCAAAAAATGGGCAAAGGATCTGGGCAGATGCTTTTCTAAGGAGGAGATACAGAGGGCCCAGAGGCATTTGAAAGGATGCTCAGCATCACTAGCCATCAGAGAAATGCAGATGAAAACCACCATGAGGTACCACCTCACACCGGTCAGAATGGCCATCATAAACAGATCCACAAACAACAGGTGGTGGCGAGGCTGTGGAGAAAAGTGAACTCTAGTCCCCTGTTGGTGGGAATGCAGAGTGGTGCAGCCACTATGGAAAGCAGTGTGGAATTTCCTCAGAAAGCTGAAAATGGAACAGCCTTTTGATCCAGCGATTCCCCTGCTGGGACTATACCTTGAGAACACCAAAACGCCAATACAAAAGAACCTATGCATCCCAATGTTCATAGCAGCACAATTTACAATAGCCAAGTGTTGGAAGCAACCTAAATGCCCATCAGTAGATGATTGGATCAAAAAATGATGGTACATATACACAATGGAATACTACGCAGCAGAAAGAAAAAAGGAACTACTAAACTTTGCGACAGCATGGATGGAACTGGAGAGCATCATGCTAAGCGAAATAAGCCAGGGGGCGAAAGACAAATACCATATGATCTCACCTATAAGCGGATCCTAACCAACAATGCAAAGAAGCAAGGAAAATATGACCCGCAACCCTGAAAGGAAAAGAAATCAATAGAGACAAGAGGGAAGTGGGGGGCAGGGAAAGGGAAGGGAAGGGGAAAGTCAAGGAACATATAGCAAGGACTCATGGACAAAACCAAAGGGGAAGATCTGAGGGAGGGATGGTGGGAGGGGGCAAGGGAAAGAGGTGGGGGGAAGGCAGAGACAAATGTATTTAAAAAGTAAATAAATTAATTAAAAAAAAAGAAGAAACTTTCTACCTACAAAAGTTTCATTTGTCCTTCTAAGTTCTAAGTCCTGCTTTGAGATGTTATCTTCTCAGAGGCTTTCCCTGTTTTACTATTTTTAAAAATTTTTTTAAAAAAATTCCTCTGTTGGGGGAAGAGAGAGAGAGAAAATGAATCATCAGTGTGAAAGAGAAACATTGATAAGGTACCTCCCATATGTGCCTTGACTGGGGATTGAACCCACAACCTTTTGGTGCATGTGATGACATTTCAACTAAGTGAGCCACATGGCCCAGGCTGAAATTATTGTTTTATATATAAGTTTTAAAGAAGATCTTATATATTAGCAGTCAATCTATATCATCTTAGGGGAAATGCATTTCCAGAAAGCAGAACTGATCAGTAGTCAGGAATGGAGGCAGGGGTGGAGTACAGGTTCTATGAAGACTGAGGTAGAAGAAGATAAACAAGATAATAGTTGAAGCAGAAGAGAACTCACAGGCTCTGGATTCTTGCTGTGAGTAAGGCACTATATAGGAACTTCCAAACACCACCTCTAAATTTCACTTCATGCTCCCAATAACCATATGATGTGGGGATTGTTAGCCATTCCACTATAGAGGTGAAGAAACTGAAGTTCAAGGATATTAAGTTACTTGTCCCAAATTACATAGTTACTAGGTAGCAAAGCCATGACAGGAGCACAGGACTCCAGAGCTCAGACAGAGGAGTCTTCAGGGGAGGGTGGCCTTTCTCATTTGTCAGCAATAGACCCCTTTCCATTACTACTGGCTAGCAAAGCTCAGCTGCATCAGATGCAGCAGAACACATGCTGTGCCATTGTCTGACTATGCCACCAGAGGGCACAGATTTGGAAATTTTCCTTCTAGACTATCTGTCTGTTTCTCCTGCAGCAACTTCCTAGAGCTGAGAGAGCAGACCGTGTGTGGTATACTAGGAATGAACATGGACTGACAACAGCGTTGGAAGATCTGAGCTTTCCATTGCCTTGGTATGGGACACATGCTCCAGTAGCCATCCCTCATGTGAAGCATGCAATTTCCTGTTCAGTTTGGGCAGTGGGTGTCAGGTAGTTAGAAAGAACCCTTGGGCTCGACGCTGATATTTAACATTCACCTCTGAAATCACAGTCCTCTTTGTGACATTTTTCACATAGTAGGAGCTCTGTCTATGTTTCTTTGAAAAGAAACAATGTCATGACACAATCACTTTCTATCTAGTCATTTACTTGTCAAAATACCCCAGTGACTTTTTATTGCCCTCAAAATAACTTTGGACAATTTTAACCCGGCTTCCAAGTCCCACCACAGAATGCAATCTAGACTTATCTCAAACTAGCCCACATTCCCCAACCCCTCACAGAATATACACATCCTTAATGTAGTCTTGAAGCAGTGTGTCTGGCATCAGATTCTTCTGTCATGCCCTCCACATGGTAAATTCTCAATTAGAGGAGTTGCTGTTACTATTGTTACTGCTACCACTGAAGCACACAATTCAATATGCAATGAATGACGAACAGTGAAATCTTTGATTCTGTTGTCCTTGGCTCCTACTGCATTTCTGGTTGGAGTCTTGCGACCAAAAGGACAGCACAGAAGATTTTATTAACCAGAGAACAGGACTTCTTTCCCCTGAGCAGACATAGATGTGTGTAGCATCAGAAGTCTAGGGTTGTACGCTACTTTGACAATATGTCCTCTAAGCCAATGCATAATTTCTACACCTGTTAGAAAGGCTTATCCAGCCTTTGTCTCTTTGAATCTTTCAATCAAAATGCTTGATGACCCCAAAATGTTTTGATTCTTATAAGGAGAACAGTCTTTGTTCTGCTGCCTCTTAGCCCTTTTGATTCCCTGGTTTTCATTCCGCCAGATGAAAATGAACATTTCCTAACACACCTTACACTACCAGCTCTGACAATCCTTTCTTTTTTGTTATAGATAAAGAATCTGGCAGCCAAAGCAATCATTCAAAGTTCCATCCTTATCATTTTTCACTTTGTTCCTTTTGGCCTTGGTTTAGTGCATCAGCTTTGAAAATATCATCCCAGGGTTGACGCTTGGATTAATGAGTAACTGAGTGTTCTTTTGCAATACAGGACATGTTATAAAGATGGAGAGACTTTTTCTTTCTGAGACATGCAAGTGGATTCTTTGGTGTATGCTGTGAGTATTTTTTTTTCCTCTTTGGAAACTTTGAACATTTGTATCAGCAAGTCAGAATCCCAAATAACCAGGGGCTCTAAATTCCTAGCTCTAGAGGCAAAGGTATAAAAGTGGTCATCTGATAATTAACTTCCTACCAACCTCTGTGAGTTTACAGAAGGAGGAATCTGGTGATAATGTGGATATTGGATAGAAGTATAGAGTCAGGAGGGTTGAAGTGGGAGAGACTGAAATAAGTGTGACCTTCTAGGAGCTGGTGAAGTAGGTCAGGCCATGATCTGAGGCAGTGACAGTAGCAATGGAGAAAAAGGAGATTTTATTGGTACTTAAGAGATAGTACTCTCAACAGATGTGGGGAATGAGCATGGAAAAAGTCCCTAGGATGACTCCTAAGTTTCTGGCATGGGGGTCTCAATAGAAAGTGATGTAGAATAATGATGATGAGCAGGCTTGATGCCTTGGGCGATGATGTGTTTACCTTTAGAAACTCTGATATTTCCAAACTGAAACTGAGGTATGTGTGGAACATTCTGGTGCATATATCCCAAAGGTAGCTGGACAGATGGTTGGGAACACAGGAGAGCAATGTGTCCTAGAATATGCAGTTTTGTGTGGTCACAGTTGTATTCCTGGGAGTGGATTAAATCACCCAGAAAGAGAATGTAGGGCTGTGGAAGAATTCCTACCTTGACTCCATGGATTTCTTCCTTCTCATTACTCATGTCCATTGTCATTGGATTTCACAGCTGACTTCCTTTACTCCACTGTCTTGTACTTTTTTGGGTTCAGAGAATCTCACATTATATTTTCTATCTGCTGCTTTAATAATAAAAAAAAATAACATGAATGAGTGTAGAAATAATAGTGTAAGGTGTCTTGCAACTTAGAGATGACTCTTTAGATGATACTGATGGTGAGAAATCTAAAATGCAAAATTGGACTTCCATCTTCCTGTTGCTTGAAAATACTCCTGTGGCTCCCATGTTTTGCATGAATGCATTAATATTAACTTATGACTTTGTATATAGCTTTACAAACCACCAATCTTCTGTTTCACCTAACATATTTTGTGTAAATTACTCTTCTTTTGTCTTTTATCCAAATAAAAGTACAGGTATTCTTTCATCTCATTTTTTATAGATTTTATCTTAAGAAAAATGTCAAATTAAAAAATCCAAAATTCTAATCTACAAAGAATAATATAAGCAGAGGGGGTGCTAGTTTACCTAATGACTCTTCTCTCTCCAAAAAGCTGTCTCTGGTTCAAATAAAAAGTAATTCAATTTTCATAAATTTAAGTTACTCACAGAGTTTTCATGCTGCAATTACATCTTAATAACAGTTCATGACATTATTTCTATGGCCCCAGCAAGCCACCTCTACTACTCCCTCGATGTTTCATCAGTTTTTCAGGGGAGAGAGACTTTTACAAGGCCCCTGGTGAGCAAATCTTAAATATTTTCCATTCTTTTACTAATCACAATGGGCAATTATTAGGTGTTTCTGGTTCAGAGTTTTTATCCAGCTAAGACCCCTTATGATTCTCTTACCTGATTCATTTTTTAATGTAATTTTGTATTGCTGTTCAAGCACAGTTATCACCATTTTCCAGCCACCACTTTCTCCCATCCCACCCACCCCACCCCCCCATGCTCAATCCTACCCCCCTTTGGCTTTGTCCATGGGTCCTTTACACCTGTTCTTTGGCAACCTTTCCCCTTCTTTCTTCCATGATCCCCCCTTCCCATCTGGTTACTGTCAGTTTGTTCTTTGTTTCCATGCCTTTGGTTCTATTTTGCTTGCTTGTTTGTTTTGTTGATTAGGTTCCACTTATAGGTGAGATCACACAGTATTTGTCTTTCACTACCTGGCTTATTTCACTTAGCATAATGCTCTCACCTGATTTCTTATAGATTTTCATCCTTCCAAAATGCCACTGTTCCTCTATCTGGTTCTCTTGGTACTTGGGCTTCATTGTGCACCACCTAACAGCTCTGAAGGCAAAGTAACCACCTGCCATTTTCCCCAACAAAATGCCACTCTCTATAAGATGTCATCCATCAATGCTGACTTTGCATTCAACCTGTACCGGAGGTTCACAGTGGAGACCCCAGATCGGAACATTTTCTTTTCCCCTGTGAGCATTTCTGCAGCTTTGGCCATGCTCTCCACTTGGTCCTGTTCCAGGATCCAAACTCAAATCCTGGAAAACTTGGGGTTCAACCTCACAGATACCCCAATGGCAGAGATCCAACAGGGCTTCCAGCACCTGATCTGTTCACTGAATTTTCCAAAGAAGGAGCTGGAATTACAGATGGGAAATGCCCTCTTCATTGGGAAGCAGCTGAAACTGTCACCAAAATTCTTGGATGATGTAAAAAACCTCTATGAGACTGAAGTCTTTTCTACCAACTTCTCCAATGTTTCTGCAGCCCAGCAGGCAATCAACAGTCATGTGGAGAAGCAAACCAAAGGGAAAGTTGTGGGCCTTATCCAAGGCCTCAAACCAAACACTATCATGGTCCTGGTGAACTATATTCACTTTAATGGTAAGACTCTAAGACATCCATTTCTTGTTCAGTGTTCTGATAATTTGGTGGGGCACTGCGGGGAGCTCCTAGTCTCTTCTTACTAACATCAGTAGGTGTCCTTCGTACCATAGTAACAAGTTCCACTGGGCATAGCTGTAGTTTTGGATCTTCCAGAAGGGACACATAGCTCTGTGGATGAGACAAGGAATTTTCTAGGGAGAGGTAAATTTGAGAGAGGCAAGTGAAAATAATATGATCATCCTGCTCACATATAGCTAGAGAATCATGGTTTCCAAAGGATTTTGTGAGTGTGAGTTTGGACACTTGGCAAATAAACAGATTTGGGTTTAATCCCCACTGTAGCCATCACTTGCTATGCCTTCTTGAGCATGTTACATAAATAATTCTCTCATGTGCTATGCACCCACTATATACCAAGCATACCAAGCATGGTGTTATGTGTATAGTTTATACACACTGTCTCATCTGATCATCACAAGTGCTCAGGTTCACAGAGTTAAGTTTTACAGCTGGTATTCCTACCCGGGTTTGTCTTAATATAAACCTGGTGCTTATAACAACAAGAATCATGTGACTGTTTTCTGAAGGTTTTGTGTCCAAATGATATCTTCTGGCTCTACAGCACATGTCAGCTACATTTTGTGGAGGAGTGAACAGTTCTTGGCCACAAACCACACACTTGTAGATGGATAAAACTGCAGAAAATATCTTTTTTTTTTCATTTGACCCTGTGTGTTGGATGTGCTTATAACTTTTTATGGAAGAAGAAACTGGCTCTGAAGGGTTTAGTGTAAGTATAGTGGTTTTGAACACAGAGCATATGTGGAACATGGAGTTCAACATTTCTAGGTGTGACTCCTGGCTCTGTTACTGGTTAGCTGGGGCATCATGCAAAGACACTTTCTCTCCTTGAACCTCCATTGCTCACTTGTAAAACAGGTTAACAGTAGGTACCTAACTCTGTGGTAGTCTTAATTACTAGATGAGATGGCTGATGCAAAAGCTCCCACTGGTACTAATACTGGTTTAAAACAAACAAATTTGTCTTTCTGTATTTCAAGCCCAGTGGGCAAATCCTTTTGATCCATTCAAGACAGAAGAGGGTTCCAGATTCTTAGTGGACAAGACCACAACAGTGCAAGTGCCCATGATGCACCAGATGGAACAATACTATCACCTGGTTGATACAGAGCTGAACTGCACGGTGCTGCAAATGGACTATAGCAAGAATGCTCTGGCCCTCTTTGTCCTTCCCAAGGAGGGCCAGATGAAGTGGGTGGAAGGGGCCATGTCATCTAAAACACTGAAGAAGTGGAACCGCTTACTGCAGAAGGGGTAAACATCTTAGATGATGTGAGAAGTTGAGGGTGGGCATAATGGTACAGGTAAGATTGAGTTCAGCAGAAACTCAGAGGCAACAGAATCACACTGAACTACTTAACAGCTGTGCGATGACCACTAAAGTATACTGAGAACATACTCTGTGCCAGTCCCTTTGCTGGGCACTTTATTTCATCTGAGTGCATCAACAAAATACAAAAAAAGTGTCATAGACATTTTTCAAATGAGGAAGTCAGGGATTGACAGAAAATTAACTCTACAAAGTCAACCAGAAAGTCAATTTATGGCTTCCCAGAGACCAACTAGAGGTTGGTGAGAGGATTAGACTTTTACATTAAGATGTGGATACACAGCCATACTGGGCTGGGAGAGCTAGATGGAAAACAATAAAATTATTTAGGTGTTTTTGCTTCCCATTGAAATCCATGCCATTGGCTTCCCAACCTTGGCCAAAACCTCAGATATGCCTCTTTTTGGTTATGAGTCCATACTTCCAGTGCTGCCGTCCAACATTGGATGAACCAGAGAACATTTCTTCCAGGGTAAATTCTATTGTTTTGGTGCCATGTGTTGACCAATGTAGCAATGCTTGTCAATATCTAGGGGAGGATCAAAGTCCAATAGAATACCATAGAAACAAAAAGAAAAAGGGAATCGTGAGTTTAGTGTGCTGATAGTCTTGTGTTCCCTCTCCCTTTCACCACAGGTGGATTGACTTTTTTGTTCCAAAGTTTTCCATTTCTGCTACATATGACCTTGGAGCCATCCTGCTGAACATGGGCATCCAGTATGCCTTTGCTGACAATGCAGATTTTCTTGAACTCACAGAAGACAATGGTCTTAAACTTTCCAAAGTAAGTTGGTAGATTAGAGTCCCTGAATTAATGAGCTGGAAGGTCCATTGAGAATCAATTAATCAACTCTCTCACTTTATCAATGAGGATTCTGAAGCACAGGGAGGCAGAATGACTCCCCCTAGGGAAAAACACCATGGTCATTCTATTTGCTCTTAAGCAAGTCACTTTAACAGTTACTTCCATCCCTAACCTTCACATCCTAAAATAATTCTTATAGAAGAACCTAATGATAAGAATAGGCTCTGATGAGATGCATTTCTGGAGGAAATGACAGAGGCAAGGGAAAGCTTAAGATGTGATTTATAGAGGCAGAAATCCATGAAGAAAGACATGGTTCCATGACAGCTAGTTCTAAAAATATAGAGATATTCATTAACTCTGCTGAGACAAGTGGCCTTCATATTTAAGCACCATCAACATAGTATGGTAAAAGGGTATCCCCCTTTTCTTTTTTATTTCTTGCTTCCAAACCAATCCAAAGACTATTTATGTTTTTTAAGGGGATAAGCAGTGTTTGTTTTCCCCCTACAGGCTGCCCACAAGGCTGTGCTGCACATTGGGGAAAAGGGAACCGAAGCTGTAGCAGTCCCTGAAGTCAGGTTTCTGGATCAGGCCGAGATAACTCTCCTTCACCCTATCATCCAATTAGATAGATCTTTCCTGTTGTTGATCTTGGAGAAAAATACCAGGAGCATTCTCTTTCTAGGGAAAGTTGTGGATCCAACGAAAGTGTAGTTGAGAGAGAAGCTGTAAGCTAATTGCATGTAATCAATGCAATGGAAAATAAATGGTATAGCTTCATAGGATTATGTGTTCTGAATGTGCTTCCCTTTGAGCAGGGGTGAATGACTGGACCCTAGTTGAACTGCACTGGCTGTGAAAGAGGCCACTCCTGTGACCAGATTTTCAGGTAGTCAATGAGTGAGTGTCTCATTACCCGAATCCCAGAAAGGCCCCGTATCAGTGCATTCTTCTTTATCAGAAATATCCCTAGTTAGCTCCAAAGAATTTGACTGGGTTGGCAAATGCCCCCTCTTCTGTCTTCTAGAGAATAGTTGAAATGCAAATCAGGTCCTTATATCCCGTATTCTAATAATATCAATAAATATAAAACAATGCAAACACAGTGGATTATATGTGAACTTATTAACCTCCTTCCTTCTATCTCATCAAAATAGTTTTTTGTATACTTGCAAGAACAGCCACCAATTAATTGTAAAAATATGCTCCCATCACAGGACTGAGTCACAGACTGAGAGCTACTGCTAGTGATGTGGCTTTTGTGAATTAACAAACATGGGACAAAGGAAGAACAGAGGCAGAAATGAACCTTCCTGTACAAACCTACCTCTCCCTCAAAAAATTTCCTTATTACTGATTTACAAGCTTGGAGTCGAGAGAGTTATTCATTCAGATCATATCTCATAGCCCTTCCTTTTCCATATCATAATCAGACTCTTTCCAAGAATTCCACTCCTGTCCCATTTCTCTCAAGTACAAATCTCCTGATTTGTCTCTTTCTTTGTCTAATTTTTACCAAAGTTTGATATGTTCCAATCCTTAGATCCTTCCACAACTTCCCCTTGCCTGTGCATGCCATCCTACCCTCAATGACCAAACATTCCATATTTTGCCGTGTATAATACACACTTTTTTCCCCAAATTTTTTAGGGTAAATGAGGATGCACATTATATATGGGTATAATGATTATATACCATGGGCATATTAATCCTGTGTATAATGTACACAAAAATGTGGGTGTGCATTATACACAGCAAAATACAGTAGATTTCACCTTAGACAATTTGCATTTAAATCCCCAATAATAGAATTCAGTACAAATAAACAGGACAGTGCATGTTAATGATATAGTGTTTGAAATTCTAGCCTTAAAGTGAAACTCTTCAGCAATAAGGAATTAATAACAAATACTTAAGTTGTTTTTCAGATAATATGCTTAAAAGACTGAAATAAATATGTATGTATAGAAAATCATATAGACCACAAATATCCTAGTGTTTTATTAGATCCATTTGCATGGATGCTTGCTTATTCTTGGAATGGTTTACATTTTGGTTTTATGGATAAGAAATTGAAAACCCAAAGAAGGAAAGCAACTTGTGGTACAAAAAATTCACTGCTAACATGGAGTTTGGTTTTACTGAGGTTACATTACAATCCTGTTTCAATTACTTATATTGTTTTGTAATCTTGGACAAGATACTAAAGCCCGCACATCTTCTTATCTTCATCGTGAAATGGGAATCCTAAAAATAGCTATGTCATCAGGATTTTGTAAACATTCAATGCTACAAAATATATAATGTGCTTATCACAGAGCCATACATCTGATAAAAAGCCTTGTAAATATTAGTTGTTATTCCTTTTGGTCAACATGAGGCAGTGGGCTGGTGTCAGAATAAAGGTGGTTGTGTGGGTGTCCTGGTTTGCACATTTATGTTCTCTAGATCAGGTCCTATCTCCAGAGGACAGAGTAAATGCCATACAGGCCCCTTACTAAACCTCCCCAAATGAATTGGATCACAGGTTATTCTGGGAGGAATATCAGTATCTCCAGCGGGAATCAGGAATTACCAAGACACCATCTTTCAAATAATTTGTGTATCTCATTGTAGACTAAACCTCATTCAAATCACTCATTCCTGTGGCTACATTATGAAGGACACCACTATTAAACTTATAAATCTCAGCTCATTTTAGCATACTAGGAATAAAAAAAAAACTTCTTTGACCTAATATGGGCTATCTATAAAATAACTATAGAAAAATGTCACTTAATTGTGAAAACGTTAAGCAGAATTTCTAATAAATATGGATCAAAACAAAATTTTTCTATATTATTTTTGCTTCTATTTAACATTATACTGGATGTTTTAGTCAATGTAGCAAAACAAGGAAAATAAATAAATATTATAAAGAGTGGCATGGAAAGGAAGAAACAAATCTGTCTATCCAGAAGAAAAGAAAATCTATGGATAAACTCTTAGAACAAATGGGAGAAAACTTATTGGGGACAGAGAACAAGAGAGTAGTATTATCAATTTTATAGAATTCACCAACTGTATTTATCTTTTTCCATTGTGATAAAATTACAACCATATAGCATCCATGCAATACTACATTTCCTAGCCTCCCTTGAAGTTAGCTGTATCCATAAAACTAAGTCAATGGAATATGAGTGTAAGTGATGCATGATATTTACTGACCAATATATTGCAATAGTTGGGTACCTCTTTCACTCTTTTTCCATCTCCTTTGAACTGAATTGTGGACTTGCTTATGATTCAGTTTGACCACCAAAAAGATGGAGAGCTCTTTGGAAATCTAGTGAAATATATATGCCTCTTTTCAGAATAATATTTTAAATGCTATTTTTAAAATATTACAAAATCCATTAATAATGAAATATAATTATAAAAATAATACAATTTAAATTACTAATGTAGTATGTGTGTATCCACAATAATAATAATAAGATTTTATAACAGGTATAATGAATACATTACTTACAAAGTAATAGGAAGTATAAATGATATTTCAAGATATGTATAATAATGATAATATGCTCTGAAACTATGTGTATTGTATATGTGACAAAATCAAAGATACAGCCACACCTAATGTGGCTTGTGGCCCACCTTAATATATGAACAAAATGCTAAATTTTGTTTGGTGGTTGGTAAAATTAAAGATGAAATTTTTCATAAACAAATGTAGAGATCCTCTGAATTTCATCCTTAGGCTTCCTTGGAAGTTCTATGTACTCCAGGTTAAAATCTCTGCCTTGGCAGAAAACAAAATGGAAAAGACCTTGATATCTAAATACTTACGTGGGAAAGAACTGCCCATTTAATCTAAAATAGTTATGGCAGATGATTAGATGAGAAGAAATAAATTGTTGTCTTCTTTAAGAATCAGAAAGAGGGAGGGGCGGGGAAAAGGAAGGGAAGGGGAAAGTCAAGGAACATATAGCAAGGACTCATGGACAAAACCAAAGGGGAAGACCTGAGGGAGGGAGGGAGGGAGGGGACAAGGGGAAATGGTCGGGGGTAGGCAGAGACAAATGTATTTGAAAAAATAAATTAAAATAAAATTTAAAAAAACAAAAAAAGAGAATCGGATTTATTGCTGAGTCTATTTGTTAAGCAGTCTGACTGTATTAATCTGATCAAGATCCATAACAAAATATCACAAACTAATTGGTTTAAACAAGAGAAATTTATTTTCTCACAGCTCTGGAGGCTAGAAGTCTATGATCAAGGTGCTGGTAAACTGCGTTTCCAGTGAGATCTCTCTTCTTGGTTGTAGACTTTATGCTATGTTCTTATATCACCTTTCCTCCAATGCGTGCAAGTGTGGAGTGGGAGGGAGCATGTACATTCAGCCCGCAGTGTTACTCTTATTCCAAGTAATACAGAAATTGGTAGCACTAGTAGGGATGTTGCAGACCATATTCATTAGGAAGCAGACTCTGAAATAGGGTTTATTGTACAGTAAGTTTAGTGTCATCAGGGTTGATGCTTTGAAGTGGCTGAGACTTCATATATTCATCTCAATCAGTTATTATATATAAGCCAGACACCTCTCTGCAACTGAGGGTGTCCCTTAATGGGCTAAAAGCAGAAGACTTTGTACTAACAAGACTCCAAAATTCTAGAATTTGTCCCTTCTTGAAGAGGAAACTGTATGGTGCACCATCATGCCCACACAAACGACTCCTTATGCTGCTGAAATCTACTTTTTCATATAACTTTAGGGATCACATCCTTCAGGGTCCTCCACTATCTATTCTAAATTCTACTTCCTATCAATTTGTCTCTGTAGCTCACCTGCTTACATGACTAAATCCTTCATTTCTGATAAGTCTTAAGACACTGGTTACCATGCTCTTCTCTGACCAATGTTATTGCACATGTCCATTTCCCATCAAAGTTGGGCAAAGGAATACCAAGAGTTACCCATGTTTATTTCTTGGGTGCCAAGCTTGTTTAGTTTGCCCCCATTGTGTAATACCATCTCTTCCTCCTTTTGATGATCAGGGTCAATCATCTCTGTCTAGATGGTATAACAAAGTCTGACTCCAATTTTTGATGTTTGCTCACATCTTTCAAGTCTCACCTCCTCATTTTCCCTTTGTGTCCCACATCTAAGCAAGCTGATAATAAAACCAAGGTATCCCCTCTTTTGGTGTCAATGACAGAACCAAATTTTGGGCAGAGGTCCATTCTGTGTCTGTAGGATGGCCACAACAGATGATGATTTCTCTTATTTCCTACAATTCCCTGAACAAAAGAATCCTGAAATGTCCAGGAAGCATCCACAGTTTATAGTTCAATGGGATTCTTGCTGAGTTTCATGGCAGAAGTGTTTGCCCTTTGGGGATCATGTCCTGAAACCCAACAAGGCCCAGATATGTGAAGACAGAGATAATTCTGTCTCTGGACTACCTTTGAACACAATACTGCAACATCAGTTCTTTTTTGTGTCCTCACCCTGCTAGCCTGCATTGCAAATTTTGGACTTGCCAGCTTCCACAGTCATGTGAGCCAATTCCCTAAAATGAATAAATTTTTATATACATAATATATTTATATAAATAGAAACATAAAACATGCATATGTGTATATATTATATTGAAATACAAAAATTGGAGATAGTTTCTGAAACAGCTTACAGAAGTCAAAAATATAGAACGAAGTGGAAATGATATTGCTTTATTTTCCTATAAATTAACTGAATTTTTTTATCAAACACTTTATCCCTTTAATAGCATAGAAATGTATCTGTTTACTTCAAGGGAAGCTCAGGTACTTACAAATTTTTCTCTCTTTTGTGTGAACACAAATAAATTCAAGGTTTTCTCCTATCTTTTTCTCCTTACCATCTCCCCCAGAATGTTATAACTAACATAGAAGGAGAGAACTGTCATGTATTTCCTTCACAACTGGGTAGAAGTTTCTTGTCTGAGATGATTAGCATTTGTCTACAGTGGCTTATGCTGATATTTCCTTTCCACACTGACTGCTATCCATCCCTCCTGGCATTCATTGAGTTGGTACTATGTTAGGGACCACTTTGTGTGGTATCAGGA